TTTTTTTTTTTTTTTTTTTTTTTTTTTTTTTTTTTTTTTTTTTTTACTCTCCTTGTGGTAGTATATTAGTGCTACATCATCGCACCATGTTTGGCTTAAATTATATAGTGACACAATTTTTTGCCTTATCTTTTCCCCAAAGCAGGGGGGCACTGTGACCTGGGTTACACATGCGTGCGTATAGTTCGCGAATGTGCTTGAAGCGTCCACCCCATGTGGGTAAAGATCCGTGACATCCATATCTCGCCCATCTGTGGTGCACTTGCAGAGGGGGAACAAGTTGAGGCCAAGAGAGCACATATCTCATCCCATGGGTCGTATTTCTCCCACCATACCACCACTGCTCAAAAGCGAACATACATATAGATAACAAAAAAGAGAACATCGAAGCGACAACAACATAAAAAAAAAAAAAAAAAAAGAGGGATTCGCTAAAGAAATAAACAAGATTAAAAAAAAATTTATCTACACTTCCCGCATACGTACGTTTTCTTGAGCGCACACCTGCAGATCGCCAACTCGTAAAAAAAAAAAAAATGTTCTTCCTAAGCAGTGTGTTGTTTCGATCCAAAAGCAAAAGGGTCCATGTAAATTTAATTTCCTCATGTGCAAGCAACTACATCTACTCGACGTACATTTCACCCAGCAAGGCCAAGTTCCGTTTGTCCTTGAGGAAGCATGACCCCGTAGTTAACCGCCACGTGTTCGTGCCGCAGCCAAAAGAGCGCCAAGGCGTTCTTCCCACACACGTCCATGTGCAACCACCTTGTACAGCCAGGACGTGTCCCCATGTGCATAACCCATGTTCCTACCCATGTGTACCCGCCACTCACTTTGACGCGCCGCTTCCTCCCTCTGCAGCATGTTTTACCAAAAGCACACAAAGTCCAAGTCGAAAAAGAGGCTAACCATGCACGGAATTAATTATGCGCGCTTTACAGGTGCGTGTATGACCCCCCTTATAGAGGGTTCATTTGGGGAACAGGTCTAGTGTCTCCCCATGGAGGTGGCCCGATGGATGTGGCCCGTCGAGCACCCCGCATTTCATGCCACCCTTCTCACACCCCTTTAGGAAAAAACAAAAACCTCAGGCCCCTGTTGAAGAGAGTAGAAAAGTCCTACCTGTTCGGGAAATTCAACAAACTCATAGACAACACGTACAGGTAGGAGAATTGTTGAACTGCCCACTCTCCCCCCCATGAGTGTTTGCAGTCTTGGCAGGTGTTATTATTTTGTAAAATCTTTAAGCGTTTTTTTTTTTTTTTACCTCTTTGGTTTTATATTTTTTTTTTTTCCTTTTATAGGAGTCTGCCAAGGATGAGTTGACGCGTTGGAGGATGGTACCAACGGTCCTCAACGACCTCTTGTAAAAAGTGTGCAAATCACACTAAAGATTAGCCTCATTGGAAGGGGGGTGGATGTGACTGCTTCTCAACCGTGGACGTATTTCTCTAAGGTTAATATGTCACACGTGTGAGCAATTCCTTAGGGGCCCAACGCACGATTTAAAATTTTTTCACCAAAGGGTTTTTTTTTTTTTTCCGGTATTTAGTTTAGCTGTTCCCATCGTTCTCATGCGCTGCGTTGCGCTACTCTATTTTGTGTTACCACCCGTTACGTTACCTTACGTTATGTTGTGATATGATCTGTTTTTTTTTTTTTAAACCGCTACAACTGCACACATCTCTTTTAAGCGCCCTACGTCCGACACACCTGTGTCGACTCCTCCCGTTGCGCAAATGCCCCCCCCGGGGTAACTACTCTCCACTTCGACTTGGTCAAAATGGAAAAAAAAAAAAAAAAAGTAAATCCCAGAAAAAGGTTCCGTAAAAAAAGGGAAAAAAAAAAAGTTAGGGGACTCATGTACCCGTGTTCTACCCTATCTTACGCAAGTGCAAAGCTGAAACGTAGGGGGAGTGTGCCACTCCGTTGTTGATTACCCGAGGAGAGGATTTTGCTCATAACGGCGTAGCAACATACAACGGAGGGAAAATATATATAAGCAAAATCGTATTCACAACTAAGGAACTCATTTTGCGAAAGTATTTTATCTTCTACGAGGGAAGGAAAAAGGAGGCCTATGCTGCTAACACGTGACCCTCTGCGGAACAAAAAGTATCACCTTGCCTTTCAGGCATTTTTTCACTCGCTACAAAATGGGGGTCCAAAAAGGGGGAACCCCGAGACGTGGGGGAAGGGAAGCAAAATGGGACAACCTGGGACGAACCCGCTGCATCCCCATGGCCACAGCAACGAACTAACCCATGTGGTCCAAATGAGGGGGGCATTCAGTCAGGCAAGGAGGACTGCAATGAGCATCAACACGGAAGGGCGTAAACAAGTGGAAGAATATGTGGGGGGGGAAATGAGTAACCCTTGTGGATACTCCCCACGTAATAGAATCAGAACAGATGGAAGAATCCACAACGAAAATGATTATACTAGTGAAGAGAGTAAACACAAAGTGGACTGTGGGCTGTCCATGAGGGGTGTGAAAAGGAGGTCCCCACAGGAGGAAAACAGCCAACAGGGCAAGCCAGAACTTAATGCAGTAAACAATTTGTGTAAAAAAATTTTCTACCTAAGCAAGAATGGGGTGAAAAATGAAAACGTCTGGAAGAATTACTTAATCGAGGTAGGTAAAGAAAAAAAAAACTTCCACCTTGTAAGTACAAAAAATGTGTTTCTCCTATTGCTAGGTTTGAGTAAGAGTCAACACATCGTTAAGGGCCTCCTGCGTCATGGCACCGTTAGCAGGGAACACAAAATGGAAGAAGAAACACACACAGAGGATGTAGTGGATACCCTTATAGGCACCCTAGTGAACAGGATGGATCGGCTAACAAACAGCCAACGGAGTCTCCTCCTGCACATCATCCAAAAGTTACACAAGATCAAACAGTACAACCATGTGGTAAACGAAATTAATAGCAGGATTTTGGAAGGAACCCCTTTAAAGAAATTGAGCGCGAGAGCCTTTTCTAGCGTCCTCCACGTCTATGCTAGTGGTGGAACTTCAGTTTCATCTAGGGAAGGAGAAGCTCCTACTTGTATGCGTCGGCCCCTTGAAGAAACCATAAGCAGTACCTTTTCGGAACGAAATGGACAACAGAACAAACTGGTGAAGGTTCTCCTTAAGGGAAGAGTGAGCATGGAAGATATCCTCCGTCTCCTCGGAGCCATGCACAAACTAAAAATAAAAAATAAGGAGATCCTTCAATGCATCGTACAAATTTTAAATGAAAAAGTGAGAAACGAGAGTTACTTCCTAACTCCTTCTCTTCTTCTGTACATGGCCAACCTAAACGTGTACAATGAGGAGCTGTGGACAAAGTTGAAAATGGTTGTAATGCAGAATTATCGTTTCTACAATTCGGTGCATCTAACGAATGTATTTTATGGGTTCTCGAAATTTAGACCCCATGATGTGGAGGACTTGTTTGACATTTTGGCTAGCCACATCATGGACACAACTTTGTATATGGAAAAATGCAGGAAAGGGGAAAATGGGTTAAAGCAGAAGAAATCTGATTCAGCAAATTCTAACCTGTTTGATGAACCCAAATGGGAACATGGTCTCCCTCGGGACCACACAGCCAACACGTTTTTGAACCTCTTCCAAACAACGAACATTATAAAGAGCTGCCTACTTTGTAATTACCTAAATTATAAATTCTTTCATTTTTTACTTGATCGGTTGAGAAAATCGGAAGAACCACAATCGTTAGACAATCAAATTGATTCGCTAAAGGCAGTGTCGAGTATATTAAAAACGTTGAACAGATCCGTTTATAAACATGTGGTATCGTTTAATTATATTGAAAAGGGGGAGAATCTCTCCCTGCAGGACGGACAACCACACACGTACGTCCACTTGCTAAACAGTGCAACCACTCACAAGGAGATACACACCTACACCTACAGTGGTGACATGAGTGATAACCACTTACCGATGGTAGAGTACCTCTCTGTGGGGTCTACACAAAAGGAGCAATATCAGTTTGAAATCTACTGGGATGAAGTAAGAGAAAAGATAAGAAAAAAAATGGAACAGAATTTACGAAACCCCGACTTGAAGCTACTGCTACATAAATTAATCGTTTCTCTTTCATCCTCCAATGTGAAGTGTGTAAACCTATACGCCTTGTGTTTAATTCTATTGGAGGAAACAAAAAAGGAGTTGAGTGTTAATAATTTGTTTTTGTATGTCCAAATTTTCCACCGAATGAAAATGTACAATTATGAAGTGTTCAATTGGCTAGTTGAACACATAAAGCAGAATACACATTTGTTAGATGTGAAGAAAAAAATGAAAATTATTTTATTGTCTTGTAACATTTTTAAAAGGATAAATGAACAGGAGATGCAGGAATTGTACCGCTTCTTTTTAAGTTCAGATGATTCTTCCGTTTCTAGAAAAGAGGAATCAATTTTTGTAGATGCTCCCCCTATGTGGGAAATTCCCTCAGAAATGAATACGAGGAGAGGGGACATGGTAGACTTGGATTCCATCTCGAGGTGTACCGCTACGAACAGTGTGCATGATGGAATTGGCAGTTTTGCAAATGGTGGTGATGATTCGGTTGGAAGGAACCCCCCCATGGGGGAGACTAAGAAGGACCCAAATTCTGCCTCACCAAGCAAGGTAAATTTGTTCATAAAAATAGAAAAAACGGATACGTTACCATGCCACTTGGAGTTCACCGACTATATAAACTTTCTGCTCATTTTGATTCACAACTGGAAGGGAGATGCAAGTGGGGGATTTGATCTCCTTTCTCTTATTTCGAAGGGGCCAAATGATTTAGTGAAAATTGGACACATGGACGCAACTTTGGATGAGCACACGAACAGGTTAAAGGAAAACCTGCACCGTGAGAGGGGCGCTATCGTTAAGCTGTTCGAGAAGATGAATCATTTTTTACGTCGAGGACCTCACGCGGAGGAGGCAGATAAGGTGGGTAACTTGCATGGCCTGCGTAGAGACTGCTCCCTCCAAATGGACTACCTGCTGCATTTTATAAAGGCGATAAGCGAAGAGGTGCACAACGACATAGTGAGCGTGTTGGGGAGTCAATTGGGTTCCCAAATGGGAGACCGATGCACCCCCCTTAAAAGCCCGTTCGAGTTAAAAGAGGAAGACTTGCAATTCCTAAATCTGTCTAGAGGCGGCAAAGGCAGTCCCCCCACAGTCCACAATAACAAAACGATTAATAGGTATATGTATGGAAGTGTCCGGGAGGCGGTAGACCTCCTTCGACACAATTTCCAACTGCACAAATGTAATAATATTGCAGGTGTTTCTTCTACGAATGGCAGAAATTACCTGAACAAAATGGAATCATTTTACAAGATAAACGAGTTCTTAATAGCAGATGTAGCGTACATTTTCGAAAAAGGGGAAAAAGAATTATTTCACTTTGTTCTATTTTACCCACACGAATTAAAAAAAACACTTGTAAGGAAATGCGAAAATCAGATTTTCCTAAAACAGGAATATGATGAATCGCTTCTAATATGCACCGAGATTATTTTCTTATACAATTTCTTGAAGAAGAATTTTCGGAACCAGTTTTTTTTCAGCCTTGTGGATACCACTCCGTTTGTTAAATTTCGCCAATGCACAAATGGAGATGTGTTGGTGGGGGGAATACCCGATGGTGATCTCGTCATGCGCGAGGCCACTCGCCTTTTAGAGACCATCTCGAACGCATAGCTCGCCACCAACGCACAGTGCAACTCGTTTATATTTGTGTACAAATCGATGTAAAATTCCGCTTGTCTTTTTTTTTTTTTGTTGTTCCAAACAAAGAGACCTACTAAATTACAAGAATGATGAGCTACGCAACAGGGGAGGAAGAAACAAACATAAATAAATGAACAAGTCAAAGTGAATACGGGGTGAAGCTCTCTTGTCCCTTTTTTAAAATCATTCGTAATGCAAAGTGTGCAATTAAGAAAGGGCCACATGTGGGATATCCCCACAAGGAGGGGTGCAAAAAAAAAAAAAAAAAAAAAAAGCATACACCTATACGGCATGTGTATTGCACATCGCCTGTAAAGTGACGTTATAAATATGAGCATCGCGGAATCTGATCAGATGGGCGGCGTGTCCATGTTTAACCCCTCCCCAAGTGCAAAGGAAGGAGCGCAAAAAAGGGGGGCTATTTAGACCAGTTGGTCCAACTGGGCAAACGGGGCCGGACTAATCGCTGTAGTTGCACATGTTTTGCGAGGCGTCCTCCAAGACCTGATCCAGCTCGGGGTCCTTGGTGTGCCCCTCTTCCTTGTCGACGTTGCTCAGGGTATCCACAGCATTTTTTTTATTTAGGTATTTATTTTTTATAGAATTCGTGGAGAAGGAGCGAGACAGTTGTTTGTTAATTTCAATGGCCTCTTTGGACGCTCCCTCAGCATAATTATCTGTGAGTTCTTTTATTTTATTTCTTTTGTTTGTTTTCTCACGTCTGTAATTACTTACAAGGATGATGAAGTCGTGAATGATATTGACCCAGATGTTTCTGTCTTTGTCTACCGTTTTAAGATATAAGTAGTTTTCCTTTTTTTCTCTTTTTTTCCTGTACTTGATATAGAAATATTTGTGGCTGTAGACGTCGCTGTACACATTTACTACGTATTCGAGGCGGATGTACCCCACTCGGTTTTTGTCCACCTGCGGGGTTGAAAAGTGGGGTAAGAGACAGAGGGGGGGATAAATGACCAGGTGTATCTATGTATGTTTGCGCACAACTATGCGTAACGCGCGCGTCAAACAAATGTACCGCATAAACACACATTTTTCGTGTAGTGTAAAATTGGAGGGGTGCCCCAAACGAACCTTCGCGTCGGCTTCCTCATTATAGTAGCACCAGTAGAATTTTCCCTTAAAGAAGTGCATGTAGAAAAAGTACTTGTTGTAGAATCGCTTGATGTAAAAATTGCTGTGCAGCAGGTAGCCATTCAAGTTTTTGCAAAAGAGCCGAATTTTGTCTTCGATTGCCAGGGAGGAAATGTTATTGTAGATGGCTGCGGGGGGGGAGCGGTGATGTGTGAAGCGATGATGTGGACAGCGGCGATGTGTAAAGGAGCACTGTGGCACTTCGTGGCGAATGATACCGCGCCGCAGAGTGCGCGTAGACCTACTCGAGCTGACGTCCGTCTCCTTAATGGCGTCAAAGTGCTCCATGCCGTCATTTATGAGCTTCTCAATCATTTCATTATTCCTGTTTTGAGTTTTCTGAACAGCGATTATGGTCTCGATAAATAGGGAGGTGTATATCTGGTCCTCCGTCTTTATACAATCTAGGTTGATATAGTGAAAGGACAAGCAGGCTGTTGCTACTATTTGGTTTTTGTTGGTTATGTTGAAGTACATGTTGCAGGGGAATAACTTCTTTACGATATCTGTGTAGATGTGAAGATCAGCTGAGCCGATGAATGTATTTTTTAGAGTTCCTTTTTTATACACTTCAATTCTTATGGTGTCGTTGTTCTGTTTGACAACCATGTTTTTTCTTTCCTACTCTTGTGTGAAGGGGCGGAGGGGGTGCTCATGGTGTAGGGGGTCTCCACAGGCGCGAACGCATAAGCATATGTAGAACGCATGAAACATAAGGGGAGAGTGTATACATATAAATGCTCGCCCCCATTTAGACACAGACAAAGTGTAACTTTTGTACAAGCACACAAAGTCGCAGCCACCACGTGGAGTAAAACAAACAGGGGGAAAGGAGGAGAAGACTACTCCTTCCATATTTTTTGTGCCCATTTTTTTTTTTTACTTCTATGTGTATTTTGTTGAGGTACTGCTTGTAGTAGTGGGTGTAGGAATATCTGTTTCCGATTTTCAAATGGACAATATACTTGCTGTTGTCATCGTCGCCCATTTTTAAATTGATGTGGTGAATTTGAATGATAATGTTGAACGATTCATATTTGTGAATGTTTAGGAGTCGGTACAATTGGCCTGAGGAGAGGATTGTATGTGTGTGAGGGCAGGGAAGTCATGTGAAAAAAAAAAAAAAAAAAGGGCAGACAATCTGCTTGGCGCCATGTCCTTCCACTTTGTATACGTGAGCCACAAAAAAAGGAGGAAATATACAACTACGAGCAATGTTCACTATTTCATCATGTAGACAAAATGGCTGTCTCGAGTGTTCAACAATTTGTTTCCTCTTTCTTGTAGATGTAACTCCAACTTGGGGGTAGCTTACCGATTGGCTTATTCTCACTGATATGAGGAAACAAATCCCTATTTCTACACACGCAGAGGGTACACACGGATGCAAGAAAGCATCCCCCCATGTAGAGAACATTGTGGGGATCAAGGTAAAACATCTTCGGGAAAAAAAAAAAAAAAAATGCTATAGCGAAATGGCTATGACAAGCAAAGTATAGTATCCAATCTACAGATCAATTAAAAAAAGGTAAGAAACAAATAGAGGCAATGCATCTGGACGGGTGATGAGAATGGCAATTTGCTTATTCGCACCCCTGCTACGTGTTTTTTCACACGTATACGTTTATATTCGTACATATACATTTATATATGTACATATCTACATTTGTGGAAAAAAAAAAAAAAAAAAAAAAAAAAATATTAGACTTGTGACATTTTACAACTCCTATGATTAACGGTTATATTAGAACAGTGGCGAAGGAAAAGAAGGAAAATTCTGAATAAAATTATGCACCTATTTTTTTATAGAAAAAAAAAAAAAAAAAAAAA